GTTGTGACTTATGTAGAATATCAGATCATGAATGATTCTATACTAAAATTGGTGATAAGTAATAATATATGTATTAGTGAAATGCACATTTGCTGCAGAGGCTGTTTATGTGAGCCTCCGACGATACGATATGTATTATGTACACAATCGAGTTAAGTTTCTGTCTGTTTACATATTGTATACTCTTCCAGATGTTCTTCCAACATCTTCAAATTTCATAATCTTGCATTTGTTTGCGCTGAATTATGACTAATTCTGAAGTTCATCCAGGATCATTCGTGGCATTTCGTTCTCTCTGGTTTAAATTCTTTTAATTAATCTTACTATATTTATGAACAAACATGATACATCAGACACTTTCAGCATGACGTTAAAATATAGAAGAAACTGGCCCCAGTTCCAGTCCTCCTGGAACCTCGCTTGTTGCACATGCTTATTCATTTACTTCTTTCTGGACAAAAACTTTTCTCCGTTCTCTTAGGTATTTATGGTTTGATTAACTGCTGTACCGACCCTACTGTACCTGCCGGCTACTTCAGAGTTTAGCTCACATTCGTAAACTGTAAAATATTTTCTTTCTATCCTGGAGTATAAAATCCACCCATTTATGTCCCTCTCTTCTGCCTATTATCTTGTTATAAAACTAGAGTGGATTTGTGAGCCAAAATTTGCTGTCTCTAACAGCAGGCTGATTGTTATTTATTAATCTGTTTCTCTTCTCGTGTTGTTCCTTCTTCCTTACGATTGTTTTCTCAATTTATTTACATATTACTGACGTTAGGGAATCTATCATGTAGCTTTGTATTTCCTGTTTGTGCCTTTTTCTCTAGATACAATGTTCTATGGATTTCACTGCTCTGACAAATGTCCCTATTTACACTGACTTAGATTTTAGCTAGTGGTTCACACTGTGCTGATGCTTCCGACTCTAAGATTCTTGGTGATACGGTGTCAGCTTTTACCGTCAGTGTATCCATCATTTAGTAATCTCATTTCTCCCGTTTGAGGTAGTAGTCTAGTGCCTCCGTGTTTATCAATTTTCTTTATCTCTCAATTTTTCTTCCTTGAAATCCAGTGAGAACACTTCCAGAAATTGGCGAGTAAGACGATGATTGAAAGAATTTTTATTCGTACAACGTTTAGCCACGAAATATTGCACTACTAAAGACTTTTGCAATTCGTGTCACCATACTGTCGACGCTTCTCCATTTCTCTGGACTTCTTTAAATTACTTGTTCAGTTCGTTGCATGCTAAATTTTCTTTGTGATCTCTCCCACATCCTTATTTAGTTTTAAATTTTGTTCTCTTACGATAGCTCGTCATCTGATGTAGCTGTGTAGCAGTAATTTTTGGCTCCGCTTTCATTGCCAGGTCATTTACAGATTATGGCTAAGCCTACGACATTTTTCAGATTACCGCTTAGACTAGGTCATTTTCAATTTGCCGCTCAGGCACCTAAGGAAAAGGACACCGTCTGGAAGGGAAACAGAGCATGTTGCCGCAATGAGAAATGTAAAAAATATCTGAGAATGAACATAGTGCAACAACTATCACATTAATCACAAACAAGCAGCCTGGAAGGTTAGCAAACAGTAGAGTAGCCTACTGGAACCTTTACAGTGACACCGTTAAATCACTTCACCATATATGCGCAACTAGTTATCAAGAAACAAACCACGAGAGTTGAGATGCATTCTTGCAAAACTTTGCTGGACAGTGCTAAGTAAATCACAACGAAAGTATACAGGAATTAGTTGTAACATCGCTATGAGCGTAGAACCCCGAGATGTAGAACTAGTAACGAACAAACTTTGGTATTATTGATTATGTAGATAAATGGGTCAGAGAACCGACATGTTGAAAACTTAAGACACATTTGCAATACCTGGGTATCTTTATTGTGGAAGTTTCCCCACACAGTGACTTCACCAGTGTGACGAAACGTTACCACAAAGATGCAGAAGTGTGGCACACGAGTCTAATTCATCATAAATGATTATGGACGAGGAAATACAGATGCAATTTGCAATCACAAGTAAACCAATAACACGCAAGGAAACTATATTACTGACTTAATAATGAAAGCATCGACTTAGGTCACAATTGAAAAATGGTGTAAATACCGACAAGTTGATAAGACACTTGTGCAACAGCTGTTACACGTATCTTAGGTTACAAACTGCGAAGGCTCACTAGGAACACGGGTTAAAAAAAACACACCAGAGAAAAATGAAGTTTGTCAGCCGAAAAAGTCAGGTCCCAGAGGTGGAGCTTAACCCACAGATGTTCAAAAAAAGGTAATTATCAATAAGCAAATGTGTGTGTAGACAGTAGCTGGGAGAGTGAGGTGGGCTCACTGCGCCACAAGACGCATCACAGTAACAGTAAACACTGCTTCCAACGTCCGTTTGATCAGCTACTGTTCCATTAAGTCGCCGTAATGGACGGTGAATGACGGAGCTTTTAGCTGTGTTTGGTGAAAAATATCGCCAGGAAAATGTTTGTGGTGTGTGAGATTCTCGGGGGAGGGAGAGAGAGAGAGAGAGAGAGAGAGAGAGAGAGAGAGAGAGAGACAGACAGACTTTCTGGCGGTGTGTGTTGGGTTGACGTGGGAGTCTCCCAGTGGGTGTGTGTTGGGGAGACGTGGAAGTCTCCCAGTGGGTGTGTGTGTTGGGGAGACGTGGAAGTCTCCCAGTGGGTGTGTGTTGGGGAGACGTGGAAGTCTCCCAGTGGGTGTGTGTTGGGGAGACGTGGAAGTCTCCCAGTGGGTGTGTGTTGGGGAGACGTGGAAGTCTTCGAGTGGGTGTGTGTTGGGGAGACGTGGAAGTCTCCCAGTGGGTGTGTGTTGGGGAGACGTGGAAGTCTTCGAGTGGGTGTGTGTTGGGGAGTCGTGGAAGTCTCCCAGTGGGTGTGTATTGGGGAGACGTGGAAGTCTCCCAGTGGGTGTGTATTGGGGAGACGTGGGAGTCTCTCAATGGGTGTGTGATGGGGAGATGTGGGAGTCTCCCAGAGGGTGTGTGATGAGGAGACGTGGGAGTCTCCCAGTGGGTGGGTGTTGGGGAGACGTGGGAGTCTCCCAGAGGGTGTGTGATGGGGAGACGTGGAAGTCTCCCTGTGGGTGTGTGATGGGGAGGCGTGGGAGTCTCCCAGTGGGTGTGTGATGGGGAGACGTGGAAGTCTCCCAGTAGGTGGGTGTTGGGGAGGCGTGGGAGTCTCCCAGTGGGAGTGTGTTGGGGAGACGGGAGTTTCTCCAGTTTGTCTTATTGAGTTGTCTTCTAATAATAACGGGGGCGCGATCGCTTGCTCGTGCGCGCACGCACACCCACCAACCCAGCAGCGGCCAGTGAAGAGGCGGGGCCAGGAGCTTTGACTCGACCTCTGCAACCACAACTAGGTGAGTACGTACACACACACACAAAAAAAAAAAAAAAAAAAAAACCGTTGTCAGGAAGTGGAATAGCCTATAAAGTGATGTACTGGAGGGAGGAACCATACATAGTTTTAAGACGAGGTTTGATGAAGTTCATGGAGTAGGGAGAGAGAGGACGTAGTAGCTATCAGTGAACAGGCAGGGCCACGAGCTATGAATCGACCCCTGCAACCACAAATAGGCGAGTACACACGTAAACTCTTGCAACAGGGAGAAATTAGACCTAGTAGCGACTAGCAAAGAGGGTGGACCTGCAATCACAAATAAGCGAGGACAAATAGGAGAGTACATGCAGTTACGTAGCTAGGGGAAGGAGAGTGGTTCTACTCCCAGACTGACTGTATCCTCTCTACTTTCATGCCGACGATGTCTGGCATGAAAACAGAAATGGGTGGATGAGAGAGCCTTTCACTTTTTTATTCCTGACTTGTACCACTAAATAATTCACCATAATTCTTAATCCAGGAAGAAGTAGAGAGGTCTTCTCAGTAGGTAATCCCCGTGTGGGTTTCCAAGGCTTCCGCTCTCTGTCTTTCACACGTACATAGATAGTGCTTCCATATCCAGCACACGTGATGGTGTATACTTCAGTGCTGATGTTATATTGTCTGCTGCTTCTCGAGTGTCTGGTGACGTCTTCCATGGTAATGGAGGTGGTGACGCCTTCCATGGTACCAGAAGTGACATCTTCCATGGTACTGGAGGTGACATCTTCCATGGTACTGGAGGTGACATCTTCCATGGTACTGGAGGTGACATCTTCCATGGTACTGGAGGTGACATCTTCCATGGTACTGGAGATGATGACAACACTTCGTCTGGTGACGTCTTCCATGGTACTGGAGATGATGACAACACTTCGTCCGGTGACATCTTCCATGGTAATGGAGGTGACGTCTTCCATGGTACTGGAGGTGATGACAACACTTCGTCTGGTGACGTCTTCCATGGTACTGGAGATGATGACAACACTTCGTCCGGTGACATCTTCCATGGTAATGGAGGTGACGTCTTCCATGGTACTGGAGATGATGACAACACTTCGTCTGGTGACGTCTTCCATGGTTCTGGAAGTGGCGACGTCTTCCATGGTTCTGGAAGTGGCGACGTCTTCCATGGTTCTGGAAGTGGCGACGTCTTCCATGGTTCTGGAAGTGGCGACTTCTTCCATGGTTCTGGAAGTGGCGACTTCTTCCATGGTTCTGGAAGTGGCGACTTCTTCCATGGTTCTGGAAGTGGCGACTTCTTCCATGGTTCTGGAAGTGGCGACTTCTTCCATGGTTCTGGAAGTGGCGACTTCTTCCATGGTTCTGGAAGTGGCGACTTCTTCCATGGTTCTGGAAGTGGCGACTTCTTCCATGGTTCTGGAAGTGGCGACTTCTTCCATGGTTCTGGAAGTGGCGACTTCTTCCATGATTCTGGAAGTGGCGACTTCTTCCATGATTCTGGAAGTGGCGACTTCTTCCATGATTCTGGAAGTGGTGACTTCTTCCATGATTCTGGAAGTGGTGACTTCTTCCATGATCTGGAAGTGGTGACTTTCAGATTCTGGAAGTGGTGACTTCTTCCATGGTTATGGAAGTGGTGACGTCTTCCATGGTTATGGAAGTGGTGACGTCTTCCATGGTTCTGGAAGTGGTGACGTCTTCCATGGTTCTGGAACTGGTGACGTCTTCCAGGGTACTGGAAGTGGTGACGTCTTCCAGGGTACTGGAAGTGGTGACGTCTTCAGGGTACTGGAAGTGGTGACGTCTTCAGGGTACTGGAAGTGATGGTGATATCACCTGTTGCACTTCTCTGAAGCGTCTGTGTGACGCTGTTTTCTCTTTGAGAAAGACGAGACGTCGAGACGTCTATCGCAGTCGTTGTCTTCCTCGAGTAGATTAAAATCATTGTTGTGTTTTGGCAGTCATGTTGGAAGTGTTAAGAAAATCCAAGTGCAGTGAAGGTGTCTAATATTAAGGCATTTCTCTTACAGGAATCCGGAGAAGTATATTTTGTAGGCTTTTGAGATTAAAATGTCACGATTTGTTTTCTTTTCATGATGGGAATAATTAGTTCACGAGACGTTTTTATTAGTAAGTTTATAGAACACCTTAACTCAAGTAGATATTCTTCTTTGATGTGTTTAACACGATAAAAGGACGGGTATGTTTCTCTTCATTCTCGAGTGTCAGTTAAATGAAGGACTCCACCCTGTTGAGGATGCTCTTGAAACTCTATAGGATAAATTCACTGGGTATGACAGCGTGAATATTATCCAAGTAATGTAGTTTTGTAGTAGAGGAAGGGATGATGTTTGACACTCAGTATAGATGCATTGTAAGAGCTATGTTGATGGGATGTCCTGGAGTGATGCTAAGCTTCCGTCTGTAAAAGTAATTATTAAAGGAGAAATAGATGAAGCTCATAGGGAGTTTAATTAACTTTAGAAACTCCTGACAAAGACCTGGGAAGTTCCAACTGACGAGGTTACTCTTTCTACGTACGAAGTGTATTGTTTGTTCAGTGGGTAGTCTTAAGAACAGTGAGGTCGCATCGAAGCTAAATTTATTCCTAATGTTGGTGTTCCTGATAGGTTCGTAGGATTTAGACATTTTCGGCGAGTGTACCTTCCTGGAGGGTGTTCCGGGGATCAACGTCCTCGTGGCCAGGTCCATGGCCAGCCCTGCCAAAATTTGCATGCGTTCCCAATACCTTAACATTATTGGTATCATGGGGACGATGGATTTATGTATCTTTGGTAGACTAGGTTTTAGGTATCGGGTTGGGAGAAGATGGCAGACTTTCTTCTATAAGTTAGACTTCCTGATCAGTTAGAAGGTTTAGTTGTTGTCCCCGAGTTCCATCATCTTTAGACCGTAAGCTCTAGTGTACATTATGACTTATTTTATCGTGTCGACGCGGGTGATCTTCATGTATGGACGGTGCGAGGATCCTCAATACAACGATTGTTTAGAAAGTATGGGTTTTGAGGGTTGTAGAAGGGCTACAGTTAACACTACATAAATAACACTTGTTATTGTGAGAGATTAAATCTCCATTCTTGTTGGCCTTGTGTATTCCAGTGGCGAATTTAAACCCTTGGGTTAAAAACTCTTTTGCGATGTTGGAAAGTGTTCTGTTGGCGACTTTACCTATGATGTGTGTCATGGCTATGTTTTTCCGTAAGTGGTATATGCAGAGACCGTTGAAGTCCTAAGTAACTTGCGAGACTGGAGGCACTTCTCCAAGGTAGCTCTAGTAAGGAGAATGAAAGGGAGTGCTCATCGTGGGTGAGATGAGCTGGACTTGGGTTGGACCATTACCTTAATTCATCTTGGCATAAATATCCCCTGAATAAAAAAGCACCAAATTTCTTAGTATCTGACAAACTGAATTTCCTACATCTACACAGAACTCACCTGTTCCCACCTCACCTGTCAGTGTATTCACAATGTGTAACTTGACAAAGCTCAACATGGAACTACACATTAATATCACAAAAATACTGGTGTACATTAGTGTCTCCTTTTTACAACCTCCATTTTCACAAAACTTAACTTGTAAACAAAATATGCTGAATTATCAACATTATATATATATATATATATATTATAAAATATTATATTTAATATATAAATTATATATATATATTACATATATATACATGTCGTGCCGAATATGTAAAACTGGTCAATTAGCAAGAACTCATTTAAAATTAAGTCCTTTCTAAAATTTTCTCTTATACGTTTAAAGATATATTTTTTTCATTAATGTTAATGTAATTTTTTTTAATTTTGCACCTAAAGGAACTTAGAAAACTTACCTAACCTTATTATAACAAGAACAATTTATTTTAGCCTAACCCAACTAAATATATTTTAGATTTGTTTACAATAATTTAATACTAAACAAACACAGTGAAATATTTTTTTCGTTAGGTTCAGAAAGATTTTGGTGAAATTATTGCATACACAAATTTTTGCTTGTCCTATATGGCAAGATGAACATTGCTATTTAAGCCAAGATCGCAAGTTCTGCCTATTCGGCACGACATATATATATATACAGTGGTCCCTCGTTTTTCGTAATTAATACATTCCTGGAGGAGCTACTATAAACGATATTTACGATTTGCGAATCAATTTTCCCCATAAGAAATAATGTAAATACAATTAATCCGTTCCTGACACCCAGAAGTATTAAAACAAAAATTTTTTTTACATGAAATGTAGATGTAGTACATAAACAATACAATGGGACATGATGAATGAAACATTAACAGCATAACACTTACCTTTATTGGAGACTCTTCTTAGTGTATGGGAGACTGGAGGAGGAGACAGATTGGATTGTTTACAGTTTGAAAGGGGAATCCCCTTCCAGCAACACCTCAGGTACCAATTGCTTCTCTGGGGATGCTTCTCTTCTCTGTTTCTTAATACCACTAGGACCACCTTGAGAGTCATTCTAATCCTGTCTCGCAAAGTAACTGTGGAGAGAGCTCTGTTTCTGGCGTCTCTAACACTTCCCTAAAATGGCCCAAGACTTTGTCACTGTACATATTTCTCACCTTCTTTACCACAGGCTTGGCACTAGGAGCTTTCTTTGGAGCCTTGGTAGCTTATTTAGTACTTGCAAGCACTAAAATGAGTGGAATATTATGAAATATTTCGTAGGAGCACTTGAGGGGACCTTCACTCACTGGTAAATAATGCCAGACTGGCTGGGTAGGGAGGTCTCCCCGGCTCACACCGTGTGTAAGCGTCCCGGACGAACTACTATTCGCGAGTCAATCTATGAAGAGCGAGTCCATGTTTATACGAAAATACCCCTATGATTGGCGAAATTTACGATTGCCGAGAACTACGAAAAGCGAGGGATCACTGTATATATATATATATATATATAATTTGTATATATAAGGAAAATACAACAGCGTGTATAAATTATTCACCTTTTTTTTCAGAATTCACTATTGAAAGGAAAAGCCTAAAACAATATAATACATTAAAAAATATTAATGTTCAGTGTGCAGAATATTAAAAAAAAAAAAAAGTCATGTGATACATTACACAGATGTACATTTTTCATACGAAACAAAAGAAAAATAGAAGCACTGACAAAAAACATGCGAGATGAAAATACTTGTTACAAAAAAAAAAAAAAAAGGCATTAATCAACACAAATACGTAAATAATAATGTAGCTGTGAGAGACGACTACGTTATTACGTTTCCTTGTGTTCCCCTTTTCTTGTGTTCCCCCCTTTCTTGTGCTAAGATAAGATTTCGTTCGGATTTTTAACCTCGGAGGGTTAGCCACCCAGGATAACCCAAGAAAGTCAGTGTGTCATCGAGGACTGTCTAACTTATTTCCATTGGGGTCCTTAATCTTGTCCCCCAGGATGCGACCCACACCAGTCGACTAACACCCAGGTACCTATTTGCTGCTAGGTGAACAGGACAACAGGTGTAAGGAAACGTGTCGAAATGTTTCCACCCGCCGGGAATCGAACCCGGGCCCTCCGTGTGTGAAGCGGGAGCTTTAGCCACCAGGCCACCGGGCCCCCTTTCTTGTGCTCCCTCGTTTTTCCCTTCCTTGGATTGATCCTAAATGCCATGCATTCCTCCAGGTGCTGTATGACTCATATGAATTTAACGCCCCCCATTAATATTAAGTACTGGCACAGAGATTCAAACACCTTGATAACCCCAGGGGAAATATCTCACTGGGTGGAAGGTCAATCAAGGTGTTACGCAGTGACATGCAAAAAAAAAAAAATTATGTAACATAGTTCCGGGAGTATACTGAAAGCAGACGTGTATTCCCTGAAAGTAAACGCGTTTTATTCCTGTCAGTCAGTGGCCAGGACAGGAGCAGATGATAGGCGTGTTTAGTTCAGTACGAGAAGGGTGGTGACGGGGGTGAAGTCGTCATGTTTGGGAGATAATTTGAGTAGGTAATTTTGGCAAGTTTTTTGGGTATACCATAATTGTTTGTGTTTAAGTGCTCTCATGTTTATTTGTAAAGCCCTAGTATGCAGGGGCCTGTGTTTTGGAGAATATTTAACGGTTCCACCGTAGGCTACTTAGCCTACAGTGGAAAGAAGCGCTAAACCACAAGGGTTATACAGCTCCATATCTAGTAATTACAGGCAGATGCTTAACCAGTGTGTACCAGTCACAGGTCATGCCACGCCTTTGCAATAATGTATTATTATAATAAAAAAGAAGCACTAAACCACAAGGGCTATACAGCGCTGCAGGGCAGGAAGGAAGCAAGGATATCAGGTGGCAAAAGGGAGATGGAAGAGTAATAGGTTTCGGAGAACAGCAGGGCAGTGGATGGTGAAAGGGTAGAGGGCAGCAAGAGAATGAGGTAGAAAAGGTTGAGGGGAGTGCGAAAGGTATCAGAGTTTGTCTAGTAAATCAGTCATTGTTAAGAAGTCAATGAGAGAGTCAGGATTAAAGGAGGATCCATCAGCAAGAAGGGAAGGAAAAGAGAGTAGTAGAGAGGAGACGACGTTGGAGGTAAATTCTGCATGCTCGTTGATAGAGAGGGCAGTCTAACAGAATGTGGCTAATCGATACTGGAACTTGACACTTCTCACAGAAAGGAACAGGGTGCCTCTCCACAAGATACCCAAGAGTAAGATGAGTGTGGCCAATACCAAGGCAGGAGAGAGAGTAGTCTCCCAACCTCGGCACTGATGACAAGAATACA